TCCCTCCAAGAGGCCAAGTATGAGGGTTCCCGCCTTAACGAGCTTGCACTGAAGCACATGGAGGCGAGACGGCTTGACCTCGAGAAGTTGAAGAGAGAGAGGCAGGCTGCAAGTGAGCTCCGGTCAAAGGTGGATGAACAGGAGAAGACAATTGCCGCTCATCAAGAGGAGGTGGCCACCCTGGTTGCTCGTGCCGGAGCCCTCTACGAAGAGGGACAATTTGACATGCAGCAATGCATCTACGGGGCAGTCCAGAGTGGTCTCCCAGAGAACCGCACTTTGGATGATTTCATCTCCTACTATGGGTTACCCCTTCCTCTTTCTCCCCCAGTCTCTCGTGCAAACCCGGGACCTTGACTTCATCTTCCTTTGTTGACTGTTATATTTTGCCTTGTAATTATTTGGATGATAGTGAATTGATAACACCTGATGTATTTTTGTTCATGTAGACTTCTTCCATAAATCTGACTGTTCTTCCTTTTGGAACTCCTTGTTTCGCCCTAGGACTTAGCAGATTTTTTTTATCCGCCTAGGCCTTGGGCCCAACCGCATTCATAACGCACTGTGTTCTTTGTTTATCATTGCACTAAGTGACTGGCCCACCTTAATTATGCCGGGCCCAACTCCCATTAGCCCAATAATAAGATGATGCAACCCTAGTTTGCCTCGGGAATCCGCAACTAACTCCCAATCGGATAAGCACTTTGACTACGCGTCCCTTGCGCTTCTCTTTTGGGATTACTCGCCTATTTAAGGGACTAGGCTGGACCCTTCCAATATCACAATCAACTTCTCAACATGGCTAATAACGCCAATAGAGTTGTCTTTATTGATCTTACTATTTCTGATTCTTCTTTGTTGGCATTCCCTTCACTTGGGTCCCCAACGCCTGAACTTTCTTCTGGGTCTTCTCTTGCCTCTGAACAATCGGTGACTTCTCCCTTACCTAGGGAGGAGAATCACCCTCATCATCCCCCACGGGTATCCGGGGATATTCTCCCGAGTTCCGGCATGCTTTCAAACGGGGCCAGGACGGAGGTACCTTCTCACTGTCCTGGCACGTCCCGTCCGCAAAAGAGACGCAATCCTCACTCAGGAGCTTCCCGGTTGGTCTCTGGTACGAGGCCTTCTTCCCAGGGTCCTCCCTTCCCTCAGCAGTCCTATGGGCAGCAGCCCGAGGAGTGGGGGGACTACGACATGGGGGGAAACATGCTCACATCTATATGGAGGGAGAAGGATGGGGCCTTCCGGGATCCGCCTCCTCCTTCCGTATAAGCGGAGATAGGCCTGGAGTCTTTCCCTCATGCCCTATCGTCCTCCTGGTCTGACTTCAAAGAGATGACCGGATGGTGCCGACGGAGGGAACGTCTTTCAATCCCAACCCGTTGGTTCCGTTTCATATCTTTTGAATGTCATCAAGGGAGACCGTTGGGCGCCCTCACGGAATGTCTGGATGGTTTCCGCGGGGATGGCTTTAGATCCGACCCGTTGGTATCATTCTGCTTCTTGTGAATGTCATGAAGTGTCTTCAGCGGACACTCTCCATGCCTTCATGCCTTGAGGTTCTCTTCTGGTTCAGGCAGGGAAGCAAGGGCCAGCGAATTCACCCCTTTATATTCCTGAAGTGTTGATCCGCCTTGCCTTCAGTTTTTCTTTCGCAGTAGGATAGAAGTAGATCAGGGACAAAGTTCATCACTGTAACCCAAAAGAATGTAATTTTCCGTTTGAGTTATCTAATGAAAATCTTTATCTCCCGTCTTTTTCATTTCGTAGTTAGATCAGGGATAAGGCCCATTACTCTAACCCAAAAGAATGTAACCTTCTGTTTGAGCTATTTAATGGAAAAAACCTTTATCTCCTGTCATTTAATATAATTTCGTTGCACGTGCCGTCATCTGCATGGAGTAGAAGTCTAAGTATATTTAACTCCTTACCTTCCACGGACGACGTCACTCCCTAAGCGCAGATGGGCCCACTTAACTAGGCCATGCACTTAAGTGGCGAGGGACCCCTGGTCAAACATTGGAAATCTTCGACCGCCTCCTTCACCAATCGCTCAGTCTTTCACGTCTTTTAATTGCATTCATCAAATCCCAACCATCCCTTCCCCTTTGACTATAAAATGGGGAAGGGCAATCAACTGCCTGTCCATCACTTTCCGGCTTCTTCGCCATGGCAAGTAAGTCCGAGGGCAAAGTCGTCATCGACTCAACCCTCTCTGGGACGTCTTCTCCTCCAGGTGATGAGTTTTCCGTCTCTTCGGCCCAGTCCAACGACATGGCCGGGATAAGCCCCGGCGAGTTCTTGAGACTTTATCCGGCGCCTCGCCTTCCTGCTCCATCCCCTCCTAGTCCACCCAGGCTTCCCTCCGGGGAGATAGACTGCGACTCCATGACCCTCCAAGACTTTGCCTTCTACCAGAGGATGTGCAGGACTAAACTTGGACGTTCCCCGCTAACTGTTGAGGCGGAACCTTCCTGTGAAAGCCGGACTGCTACTCCAAACCTGCTGAAGCCTTTCAACAATGGTTCTTCATTGAAGGGAGCAGCCCCCCGTCCTGGGTCATGGGAAGATTATGACATATGGGAAACCACTAATTCATCAACGTGCCCCGCGTCAAAGAGAAGGAGCCCATGGAAGGGTCCCCCACCTCCTTCTTGTTGACTGCATGGATGCAATAGGCCCTCCTTCAGCTCCTAGCCACCTGCAGATTAATATTCCTTTCCTGGTTTTGTATCAAGGGACTTTCACTTGTTTGGTCCAGGGGTTGTCCCCACATCCCAAACTAAGGAATATTCCTTAATTTTGAAGTAGGAATCATTGCTGTAATTCAAATACATACCCTCCGAATTAGCAATCAATGAACTCCCTTAATTTCTTTTCTTGTTTATTCCATTAGGAACCTTTATTGTGAACCAAAATTGTAAACAATATGGTCCTTAATGGTCATTTCTTTGCACCTCTTCAAATGCAAGTACATAACTCATTCTCTATATTAAATCTCATCTCCCGGGGTTTGGGCATACCTGGGGCACTTATCGCCTCTGCCCCAGACCTCCCTTTCCTCCGGGTTAAGGCATAATCTTATCTACCTTGGATCAGTTGAGCTCCAACCCTCGAAGTTTGTTTGCTCGGTTGATCTATGCTAGTGGAATACTAAGCTTCAGCCCTCGAAGTCTGCTTGCCATTCTTCCTGAATTCCTGGTTGTAGTGGCCCTCGAAGTCCAATCCCAATCCTTCCTTCATTTTTGACGGAGGCATAAACTTCTCTACCTCCGGGGGGCATAAACTTATCTACCTCCCCTATTTTTAGCAGGTGGCATAAACTTTTCTACCTCCCTGTAATGCGGGTCTATATCGCCCGGGGGTGCATCCCCCCCTTTTTTTTGGTGAAATCTATAGAACAATGAGATTGCAAAGGCACTTGGCATTAAAAGAAAAGACAAGTTTTACTGAAACAAACATCTTAAATTGAAAAATAGAGCGTTTTTACAAAATGATTCACTGATAAAATTTGACCAAGTGCACTACATTCCATGTCCTATCAATTTCTTTTCCCTTGGGAGTCACCAACTTGTAGGTACCTGGGCGAACAACGGCCTTGATGATATAAGGTCCTTCATACTTCTTAGCCAGCTTCCCACCCTTAGTTGGTTGACTTTTCTCTCGTTTCCTCAGAACATAATCCCCCACCTGGAATGCCCTTGGTTTCACCTTGCTATCAAAGTAAGATTTCACCTGGCAACGATAATTCTCTGCCCGGATACGTGCTTCATCCCTTCGTTCTTCTACGAAATTCAGCTCTACGGCCTGATT